GTTCAGAGCCTGGGTTCAAAAAAGGGTTTGGGGTTCAGGGCTACTACCCCCCTAGCTTCCCCAGACAATTAAGGCTATTTGGGGAGAAGTAAGGCGAATTGAGGTCATTTAAGGGGGGAACCTAGGGGGGGTAGAAGAGAGGGGTAGTAGGGGCATAATCCGGGGGGGGGCGGGGGTTCCTCTGAGCCATGATCCCAGGAAAGTATGGTGTGACACATCCAAAGCGAACAACACGCCGAACTATTACCGGAAGACCCGAAAAGCCCTGAACCCTAAACAAACCACACGACTGTTCCCTACGGACTGATCCCAGAGGGGGTCTGCTAGGCCGCTAGGCGGGTGGCAAAAAACCCTTAAACACCCTCCCCCCACCCCTCCCTAAACCCTAACCCCTAAACCCTAAACCCTAAACCCTAAACCCTAAACCCTAAACCCTAAACCCTAAACCCTGAACCCTGAACCCTGAACCCTGAACCCTGAACCCTGAACCCTAAACCCTAAACCCTAAACCCTAAACCCTAAACCCGAACCCCCCTTTCACCATATGAGCCCTCAGGTCTATGGTGGGCCGTGGACCAGGCGCTGCAGAGGGCAGCCCACCAAGCTACCCCGGGACGCAGGGGCCAGGGGCCTTGTCGCTCTACAGTTCTATTTGGAGATTTAGGGTTTAGGGTTTAGGGTTTAGGGTTTAGGGTTTAGGGTTTAGGGTTTAGGGTTTAGGGTCAGGGGTACTCATCACCCTAACCATAACTGTACATACAAGCCCCGCCTAAGTCTGCAAGTGAGTTATAAGCAGACTTATAATTGGGGTGATAAGTACCCATGCCTCCAGGTCGGCTCCTTAGGTCCATAGGTGTTGTGTTTCAATCTTTTTTTCAAGCTATTTGGAACCACAAGGAATAGTTGTTGATGTGATCTTCTTGCTTATTTCTACAGAACCCGAAGGATATTTTTTCAAAGCCGTTTTCTTGTGGTCCTCAGAGAAATGCACGCCGAACTAGGACAGCCCCCCCTCCCTCCCTCCCGCTGGTTCCGAGCTTTTTTTCTTGAGCTTGGTTTCCTTTCGAAGCCCACTCAAGAACAAAAGGCGTCCTCGTTCTAGTCATTTCTAGTACAAGGTTATTGGGGGAACTTCCGCCCCCCCCCCCCCCCCCCCCCAATAAAAGGAAGTAGGGCTTAGGGGTTTGGGGTTTACAAGGGCTAAGGGTTGGCGGTTTCGGGTTTAGGGCAAAATAGAGGTTCATGGTCAGGCGGTGGGTGTGCTTAACTGCCCTTGAAATCTTGCACCCCGGCCCTTCGTGATCCTGCAGCACCTGTTGAAGAACCTCATGGAGTTCTTAACGGAGGGGGTTCATGGCGGGTAGGTTCCTAGGGAAGCTTAGGGAGTATAGGGGAGTATTAGGGAACCTTAGGTTACATACCATTGCATACTCAAAAATCAACCTGAACCCGAATGCCCAAGCCCTAAAGCCAAAGTTCTCCAAGACCCGGAAGGCCCAGTGCCTGGACTATGCACACCAACCTTCGCCCCCTCAAGCCGCAAACCCGGAACTATACACTCCAACCCTAAATCCCAAACCCTGAAAGCCAAAGATTGGATTCGTGAACCCAAACGGCTTATGGCTCTAACCCTTAGCCCAGGCTCTAACCCTAAACCCTAAACCCTAAACCCTAAGCCCTAAACCCTAAACCCTAAACCCTAAACCCTAAACCCTAAACCCTAAATCCTAAACCCTAAACCCAACCCTCAAGCGCACACAAACCCTAATCCCCAAAAGTCACTGCCCAGGCCTTCCTCAGACCTTCTGGACCTTGGTGGGGAGGCCAGGGTATGGTGGCACTTAATGGAATCTGCGGTTTAGGGTTTAGGATTTAGGGTTTAGGGTGCAGGGTTTAGGGTCTAGGGTTCAGGGCTTGGGGTGAGAGTTGCTCCCTCAAGACGTGTTTTGGGCTTTTAAGGGATTTCGGGCGTGGGCTTCAAGCTTGGGCTCCTTTATCAAGGGACTCAAGGAGGGACCCTTATCTGGGACCTGAGGGGCTATTTGGGGTTTTTGGTATATAGGTACTATCTAAGCCCCGAAAAGTATTTGGGGCGCGAAGTGCTTGCTACACAGCCTTGGTTGCATCGAAGTGGCAGCTAAGATGGACGCATGGACCCGAAGCCCAAACCCCATTTTGGGCAGTCCTTATATATTTATATATATATGTATATATATATATATTATATATATATATAGAGGGTACGAGCCAAGGGGCCGCAGAAAAGGGAAATAAGCAGTTTGGGACATAGCAGGACTGCACTGAGTGTCAAGAGCAACTGCTTTCATCAAGGAACTAAAGGAGTGACCCTTATAAGGGACCTTAGGATTTCTGTTGGGGCTTAACTAGGGGCTACTTAGGTATAGGGACAATCTAGGTGTGTATATATACATATGGGTTATACAGGGGAATCAGATCCCAAACCCTAAGCCCTAAACCCTAAACCTTAAACCCTAAACCCTACACCCCTTAATTTCATGACAAAACAATCAGGCCCTGAATGGCAGACCCTAGGGCTTTGTGGCAGACTGTGGCTTCTTACCTGCCCACAGAGCCTGGGACAGGGTTTAGGGTTCAGGGTTTAGGGTTTAGGGTTTAGGATTTGGGGTTTAGGGTTTAGGGTTGATGGCATGAAGCAGCTTCCAGGTTCAAAAAGGGTTTAGGGTTTAGGGGTCTAAAACCTTAAGCCTTACGCAACTCACACTGGCCCCTGTCAGTGGGGACAACCTCAACCGAAAGGCTATAAACTTTGTGGTACTTTACTGTAACTTTAGATCCTTAGCCTTTTTGGGTTTATTGGGTTTCTTCATAAGGCAGCTAAAATTTTAATTTTTAGCTACCCTTCTGAGTGTAGCCAAGTAAAGAGCAGCTCAAGGCGGGCGAGCTTGTAGCTCGACTCCCAGCAAGTTTTTTTTCTCGGAGAACATGGACGCTTGGGGCCAAGTGCCTTAGACTCGGTCCTTAATAGGGATTCGAGTACCCTTATACTAACAGTCCTTAATAGGGATTATCGTACCCTTATACTCATAGTCCTTAATGGGAATTATAGTACCCCAAGCCATATATTCCTTAGTAAGGACTGTGAGTACAAGGGGGAAGCATCCCAACCTGGACCCTCAAAAGAAACAGCCACAATGCAATCCACCGGGGGGCCCCGAAGACCATCCGAAACCCTAGTGCTAAAGCCTGAACCTTCCTATTCCTGAACAGGAAGCCAGGTACCCTACATACGCCTTTCGGGTTTGTGCTCTTCTGGGTTCAGAGCTTTAGGGCTTTCGGTAAAGCCTAAAGCCTGGGTTTAGAGTTTAGGGCTTAGGGTTCAGCGTGTTGCTACTTCGTAGTTTGCTCACACCCTAAACCCTAAACCCTAAACCCTAAACCCTAAACCCTAGACCCTAGACCCTAGACCCTAAACCCTAAACCCTAAACCCTAAACCCCAAACCCTAAACCCTAAACCCAATCTGAATGTCGACGCAAGCGACCGGACGTACCCCGCTTGTTTTGGGGAGCGGGCCAACACGACCCGGTGGAACTGTGGCGCCGGTTGGACTCGAAAAACCCTGAACTCTGTGACCCTAAACCCTAGACCCTAAACCCTAAACCCTATTGTGGCTTTCTGGCTCCAGCAAGCAGACTTGTGCCACCCCGCCCACGCGCTGCGCCAGCGGAGGCTCGGAGGCTCGGAGACTTGGGAAGGATTTGGGAAGGGCTGTAAGGTTGAGGGCTGTTATTTAAGGGTTTGTAGTGTAGGGTTTTGGGGTTTCATGGTCTAGGGGTTTAGTTTTTTTGGTTTTTGGGCTTTAGGGTTTTGAGGGTTTTGAGGGTTTTGAGGGTTTTTAGGGTTTTTAGGGTTTTAGGCTTTTTAGGGTTTTAAGGGTTTTTAGGGCTTTAGGGTTTTTTGGGTTTTTAAGGGTTTTTAGGGTTTTTGGGTTTTGGGGTTTTAGGGTTTTGGGATTTTTAGGGTTTTAGGGTTCAGGGTTTTAGGGTTTTAGGCTTTTGGGGGTTAAGGGTTTTGGGATTTTCGGGGTTTTAGGGTTCAGGGTTTTAGGGTTTTAGGCTTTTGGTGTTTTAGGGTTTTAGGATAGGGCTTACGACAAGAAGCCGTAGGTCCTCCTTTAGTCTCAAGAATTAGACTGCAACCTTGACCGCATTGGAGAAAAGCTTTGCAAGGCCGTGAGCCACCAGAGCCGATTTCGGCATCAGCTTTTTGTTTTGCGAGTTGAGGGTTTAGGGTTTTAGGGTTGAGGGTTTAGGGTTGTATCCCCTTATGGGTTGAAGGTTAAGGGTGTAGGGTTTAGGGATTAGAGTAGTTGTATCCCCGCACATAGTAACTTTCTAAGATCCCAAGATTGAAAGGCTTGAAGTCGTACTTTTGAAACAACACCGACAGTATTACTGAATGAACCCGGAAGTCAAAGCCCTAAGCCCTAAGCCCTAGGCCCTAAACCCCCAAAATCCGAAAAGCCAAGTGTGCCCTCCAAGCCCCACACTCTCCGAAGAGCGTAGAGAACGAGGGCCACACCCTGCATGCTCATGCCCGGGTGCCATAAACCCTGAACTTTTTTTTAACATCCCAGGGCTTTTAGGGCTTTTAGGGTTTAGGCTTTAGGGTTGAAGGTTTATAGGGTTCAGGCCGTCAGGCCTATGCCTCCTCGGTGCGGCGCAGCACGAGCCCCAGAACCCTAAGCCGAGACCAAAGAAAAAAGCCCCAACAAGCGCCCCCAGCCATGGCCCCGAAACCTTAGACCCTGCACCCTAAACATAAACCCCAAACCCGAAACTCTAAACCCTCAGCCCTAAACCTTAAAACACCTAAACCCCAAACCCTAAGCCCCAAACCCTAAACCCTGCCCAGAAATCAGCCTTTCATCTAAGCCCAGGGAGCCCTCAACACCCTAAACCCTAAACCCTAAACCCTAAACCCTAAAACCTAAACCCTAAACCCTCCAGGAAAGCTGCCATGGATGCCCAGTGGAACGAGGAAGCGCCGGAGCTGGCCAGCAGACTCCCGCCGATCGGCCGACATGGGTTTAGGGTTTAGGGTTTGGGGTTTAGGGTTTAGGGTTTAGGGTTTAGGGTTTAGAGTTTAGGGTTTAGGGTTTAGGGTTCTGGGACGGAATGCTTAGGAAGAACCCGCTGTGCCCTATGATGCAAAATCTGCCCGAACTAGCCATTCTGCTCAAAAGTCGAGCGCCTGCTTTGAGTGCTTTAGGGTACCCTAAACCCTAAACCCTAAACCCTAAACCCTAAACTTTAAACCCTACATGTAAACCCTAAACTCTTGAAGGGTCTGGGGGCACGGGTTCTTCGAAGATGGGGCTGGGATTGGGCTACAAGGCCAGCTTCGGGGAGGTTTACGGGACCGAAACTTCTGAAGCACTTTTGGGGTCTAGGGTTTAGGGTTTAGGGTTTAGGGCTCAGGGTTTCGGGTTTTGGGTAAGTACCATGAACCTATAACCCTAAACCCGAAACCCCAAACCCTAAACCCTAAACCCTAACGGTTGTGGCCCAGGACCAAGAGTGCCGGCACGATCTCCACAACGGACACAGCTCCTCCGAGCGGTTTGTGTCGAGGGTCGCTGTTCAAGATGAGTCCTAAACCCTAAACCCTAGACCCTAGACCCTAGACCCTAGACCCTAGAAACTCTCAAGCCTGCGCTGTTCGGGACCCTTCAAAGAACCCCCTGAGGGTTAGGGCTTAGGAAACCCTAAACCCCCAAACGCTGAGCCCTCCGCCCTAGACCCTAAACGGCCCTAAACCCAAAAGGTTGAGGGCTTCCAGGGCAACATAGCGGCCATATCCGGAGTAAATACAAGGGAAGTCTACTCTAGGGTACAACCTTGGGTGTACAAGCTTCGATCCATCGAAAGATTTTTGTGTAGTCGACATACACAGCTTTGGCCTGAAGCTTCTGGAACCTGCCATCGCTGGAGGAGGCATTAGACAAGCCTTGACGGCTTGTTGCATACCACTGATTTTGCAAATAAGTGGGCTCTGAACCTTCAGAGTCAGGAATCACTGACAGCCTCGTGCAAAAAGACGCAGCATGCCTCTTCGTACCCCACGTCCTAGCATGGCACAAATCTCGTTGGCGCAAGTGCCCAAAGCCAGCAACAAGTTCTGTAAGTAGGGTGTAGGGTTTAGCCGACCTAATGGAATGGTTTCGTTCCAGGCAGGCAGTGCAGCAGTCCTAGCCGTACAAAGAGCCTAGGTCGGCAATCTCGGGCTGGAGGAAGACAGCCCAGCAAAGCATACCGAGGATGCGCGGAAGGTGCCCAGCTAGGGGGAGGGTGTTAGAGTTCTTGCTTCAACGGACGGTTCGGGTTTAGGGTCTAGGGCCATAATTTGTTTTTCTCTATGCTGGCTTTGGGTGTTTTTTTACTTTCCTGATCTGGGTTCATAAGGGACCCTGTATACAAATCTTTTTCAGGGGTTAGAGGAAGGCCAACCCAGTTCGCCCCCCCAAAAAAAAAAAAGCAAAAGAGTCTCCGTCAACCTCGAAAAGATCTGATTCTGATCAAGGGTTTAGAGTTTAGGGGTTAGGACAGTTTGCGTGATGTCTTGCGTGATGTGACTTCTAAGAAGTTGCATGTTTGCCGGCAGCCTCCAAAGTCCGTTGCTCAAAAGGGGTTAGGGCCACATTTAGGGTTTAAAGCTTAGCACCATGTTAAGTGGTTCTGAGGAAAGAGCCTGGGACACTTCCCAAGAGGGCCTATGTCGCCATCTTGTATCTGCTTGGGCCCCAAAAGCTACTATATGGAAACCCCCTTTAAGGGCCAAGTATATATATATATATATATATGTGATATATATATATATATATATGTACATATATATGGTTCAGCGTCGAGCGTCCTGGGCCCCCCCCCCCCCCATGGTATCCCCCCCCGCCCCCCCCCAAGCCTACTCTACGGTCCCTAAACCCTAAACCCTAAACCCTAAACCCTAAACCCTAAACCCTAAACCCTAAACCCTAAACCCTAAACCCCTAAACCGTAAACCCTAAACCCTAAACCCTAAAACCTAAACCCTAACCCTAAACCCTAAACCTTAAGTCTTAAACCTTAAACCCTAAACCCTAAAACCCTGAACCCTAAACCCTAACCCTAAAACCAACCCCCAACCACACCACAGGGGGGGGGGGGGATCATCTTAGTACCCCATCCGCGGGGAAAACCCTAAACCCTAAACCCTAAACCCTAAACCCTAAAACCCTAAACCGTAAACCCTAAACCCTAAACCCTAAAACCCTAAAACCCTAAAACCCTAAAACCCTAAACCCTAAACCCTAAACCCTAAACCCTAAAACCCTAAAACCAACCCCCAACCACACCACAGGGGGGGGGGGGGGTACCATTGGGGGGGGGGGGGGGGGGGGGGGGGGGGGGGGGGGGGGGGGGGGGGGGGCCGCCGGGGCTGAATCATATATATGTACACTATACTATACAGGTACTTGGGACCCTTTGGGTTCAGGTTGATTTGTTTTTGGTGTCCATACCTCAAAATGCAGTTGCATGAACTCTTGCGCTTCGGGGCTTGCGACGTGCTTCTTGTACGAGTGGTCTTATAAGGTACACTGTCTTGCTTCCCCTTACTCGAAACCCTAAACCCCAACCCTAAACCCCTAAACCCCTCAACCCCTAAACCCTAAACCCCAAACCCCAAACCCTAAACCCTAAACCCTAAACCCCAAACCCCAAACCCTAAACCCCTAACCCTAAACCCCTAAACCCTAAACCCTAAACCCCTAAACCCTAAACCCCTAAACCCCTAAACCCTAAACCCTAAACCCTAAACCCTAAACCCCCTAAACCCTAAACCAGGATTTTTGGGAGGCCTTTGGGGGGCCCCTGAGGATCGGAGATACTGCTGCCACTGGCTGCGTGAGCTCTACGCCCCCGGGCTGCGAGAGCAGGGGCTCCGAGGGTTTAGGGTTTAGGGTTTAGGGTTTAGGGTTTAGGGTTTAGGGTTTAGGGCCCCCGAAACTCCAAACTTTAACCTTGTTGCCGCCATCTGCTCTGGGTCTTTTTTGATTCAGGGTGTAGGGGTTCAGCTTCCTCCTCCTCCTTTTCCTTCCTAGGTAGGATAAGGGGGCCCTTAGAAGCGAACCCTTCTTGAACCTCTTCTGGCTCTCTTAAACAGGTACCTTCTTCAGAGGGTCTATTTCCTTTGGGGTCCTCCTGATCCTATCTCCTGTTCCTCCTCCTCCCAGGGAGAAACCCTCTTAAACTAGGGCACGTCGCTGAAATCATATTTAGGGTTCTTGGGCTCAAGGTGCCCTTGAACCCTAAACCCTGAACCCCAAACCGCAAACCCCAACCCCCAAACCCCAACCCCCAAACCCCAAACCCCAAACCCTGAACCCTAACTAATTTCAGCATCTTCGGGTCTCTCAGGCCACCTTCGGCAATTTCATCCCCTTCGCCGTCATAACCTACGGCGTCAACCAGAGTGTGGCCTGGCACATCAGCACCTTCGCATTGCGCTTCTACATGAAGGACCGAAGCTGGGTTTAGGGTTTTTAGGGTTTTTTGGGGTTTTGCGGGTTTTGAGGGTTTTGAGGGTTTTGAGGGTTTTTAGGGTTTTTAGTGTTTTTAGGATTTTTAGGGCGTTTAGGGTTTTAGGGTTTTTAGGGTTTTTAGGGTTTAGGGGTTTTAGGGGTTTTTGGGCTTACAGGGTTTATAGGGTTTATAGGGTTTATAGGGTTTATATGGAGCATAGGGTTTGGGGTTCAGGGTTTAGTCCTTGAGCCCAGTTGCAAAAAGGGTTTAGGGTTCAGGGTGTAGGGGTTCCTGTTAAGAAGATGAGATCAAGCTTCCATGCTAGGGTCGTAGTCATGTGGTAGCGGCGGAAGTTGAGTTTCTTTGCAATAGGGACAGGGGCTTATAGGCTAGGAAACCCAAAACCCTAAAGCAAAAAAACCCTAGGGCCTAGGGAAACGCAGTGTGCGTGCCGGCACTGAAGCTCTGAACTGGGTTCAGGGTTTATCGTTTGGGGTTTGGGGTTTAGGGTTTAGGTTTAGGGTTTGGGGTTTAGGGTTGGGGTTTGGGGTTCAACCTGGAGTCTGGGAGCTTGTGGGTTGAACCAAAGGAGCGTTTGGGTTTCCTTGGAAAGTTTGCTGGAAGAGCGCAAAGCCTGTTGAGAACAAAGGGATACATGTTGGGCTTCATTATAATGGGGTTTATAGGGTTTGTAGGTCTTACGGGGATTCATAGGATTAAAATCGTGTTTGTAAGGTTCATATGCTTGCAGGTTCATGGTACTTAGTAACAAAAGAATTGTAAACTACAACCCTATTTGGGGACCACAAAACCCTTATATGTGGGTTAGAACTACACGCATAGTGGGTTACCAAGTACCTGGAACCTCCAAGTACGGCTGAAAAGTTTAGGATTCAGGGCCGTGCGGAAGGATGTGCTGCTACTCGATGGTGCCACCATGGGGCGACTGAATACCGCTGCAATACTTCCTTGGAACATGAAGCAGCTTGTCTTGACTTTAGGGGAGAGGGGGAGGAGGGCAGAGGAGGGCAGAGGAGGGCAGAGGAGGGCAGAGGAGGGCAGAGGAGGGCAGAGGAGGGCAGAGGAGGGCAGAGGAGGGCAGAGGAGGGCAGAGGAGGGGAGAGGAGGGGAGAGGAGGGGAGAGGAGGGGAGAGGAGGGGAGAGGAGGGGAGAGGAGGGGGGAGGAGGGGAGAGGAGGGGAGAGGGGAGTTTAGAAGCAAGGGTTCAGGGTTCACGGTCTAGGGTTTCGGGTTTAGGTCCCTGTGCAGGGCAGGTTTGTGGCATGATCTGCTTGAAGGGGTGGCCTTGTAAGAAACGAAGGGCCGCGCTTAAAGCCTGTAAGGTCGGGGTTGGCAAACAGGAATCCTGAACATTTCTTCCGTGGAGGTGAAGGCATGGGTCATGCCAGCAACTAGGATGCCCAGTAGTGCCCTTATTCCCTTTTATTTCATTTTTTAAGGGGGGGGGGGGGGGGTCTAGGTTCCCTTACAGACCCCGTTTTAAGCAAAAAAAGCGGGGCACGCTGTTGTCCTAGGTTGCACCCTAAACCCTAAACCCTGAAACTTTGCGCTTCCGAGGCCATTCATGGGTCTGTTGTCGGATGGCATTGCCATCTTCGGGTATCACCGCAGACCCTCGGCAGGGCCAATATCTGCATATCTTCGAAGCTGAGGAACTGCCAGGGTTTAGGGTTTCGTTCGGGCTTCTCGGGAGCAGCAAGGGGATTGGTCGTGTATGGGGTGGGCGAGGTGGGTTGCAGTACATTCGGGTCTCCTTGTAAGTCTGTTGTTTCGTTGATGACTGGACTCAAGGATTCAGGAAGCTGAACTTTTTAACAACCATAACCCCCACTTGTGTTGGGCACATGCCACCCTAAACCCTAAACCCTAAACCCTAAACCCTATAAGCCACCAAGACCCCAAAGAAGTTCAAGCAGCCACTGAGGATCCTACGTCATCATTGCTGTGGCGGAGCTGAATTACATGTAGACATCGGTTGCCAGGGACATTCGAGCGCGCAAGCCCAACTTACCATCCCTAAAGCCCTAAAGCCCTAAAGCCCTAAACCCTAAACCCTAAACCCTAAACCCTAAACCCTAAACCCTATACCTCGCAAGTGTTGGGCAGGGCCTTTGGGTCCACAGCCTTGCAATAAGAGGCCTTAGAGCGCTTGTTGGGTTAAGCCCCGGACCCCTAAACCCTAAATCCTGGACCCTAAGCCCTAAGCTCTAAACCCTAAACCCTAAACCCTAAACCCTAAACCCGCAAGTGGTGCAAGCTGGCTTTGCAGCGCCCAAGCTGTTCTCTCCAGCTTTGCTGAACCCTGAACCCTAAACCCTAAACCCCAAACCCTAAACCCCAGACCCTAAACCCTAAACCCTAAACCCTAAACCTAAAGGGCTGCGGATTGAGAATGTGCAAGTTGCCCCCCCAAAAAACAGCTGTTGGCCACTTGGTGTCCTTTGTGAAGTCTAGGTGGGTGCTTGGGGCATTTCATATCTCCCTTCTTGGATATCATAGGACCTGAGGATGTTTAGAAATGTATACCCTGTAGTGTTTAGTGTCCGAGAAAAAAACGGAGTCACAATTGAGATGATCAGCCCCCGCACATGCCTAGATAGTTCAAGGGTTTAGGGTTTAGGGTTTAGGGTTTAGGGCTTAAGCTAACTCTTCAAGGTGGAGGTGTATGACCAAAATATTGAGCTACTGCCATGCCGGGGCGGGTGCACCCATGCTTGGATGGCCTGTGCACCTTCTCGAAGATGCCTAAGCACCTGCGTACCTCTTCGTAGCTGAATGACTACACTTTATACTTTTGTGGGGATACTAGTATCCCCTATAGAACTGAAAGTCTACACTTTTTTGTGGCCTTATGAACTTAGCAGCTAAGATTTATGCATCGCAGGCCGAAGATTGCAGCAAGACGACCCCATGCCTGCCCCTGATCTTGCGCAACCGTGAGGTAAAGTCCCCGAAGCCCAAGCCCTAAACCCTAAAACCCCAAAACCCTAAAGCCCTAAAACCCTGAAACCCTAAAACCCTAAAACCTCAAACCCTAAACCCATATGCCTAACATCTGGATGCCGTGACCCGAAGACCCAGGCACTTTGCGGCCTGGTCTCGTACATCTTGCTGGGAACCGTGGCATTGCCGGCAACTGCGCTGGTGGGCCCGCCGTTTGGGGTTTGGGGTTTGGGGTTTAGGGTTTAGGGTTTAGGGTTTAGAGCTTGCAGTTGTCCGCAGTCCAGTTGCAAAAGGGTTTAGGGTCTAGGGCTTAGGGTTTAGGGTTTAGGGTGGGGGAGCACAGGACTTGCATCGCTTTGGAGGTTAAGGTCCCAGACCTCGAACTCCCTGCAGTGTGGTTGCGAGGCTGTTCGGCAGGTGGCACAAAACCTCGAAAAGCTCTCAGGCCCTCTGTCTGTCTTCACAGAGAAAAGGCATTTAGGGTTTAGGGTTTAGGGTTCAGGGATGAGTGGCAGGGCTATCTGCTCAAGCGCTTTGTTTCAACGGAGCGTTCAAAAAACTGCTTAGGGTTCCCCTTACCCCAAATACGGCAGAGTCCCCCTCAAAGTTTACCTCCAACCAACGGCCCGTTTAATGTTCGGGAAGCCCCATGTATGCCTTTGTTACAGATAAGAGCATTTCAGAGTCTTGTGCTTACGTCCGCGCGACCAGGTGGTGGTGATGATTAGCATCAACGCCTCCATGTCCACCATCGATGTGATCGTGGACGGCAAGGCCCAAGAAA